AGTACAATAAAATTGTTCAAATAACTCACCTTCCACTTTCGAAGCTTGAAGAGCTGAAAAAGTGGGAATTCGCAGCCGAATTCCATCGAAATCAGCTGATTCGCCGTCACCGAGCCGCAGCCGCTGTCGCGTCACAGTGCAGCGCGGCTCAGCCGCCCCGAGAGTCTGCAATGATGAGGACTGTACTAGTCGGTGGGTTAGTGGGTCTAACACTCAAGGTGGAGAGAGAATTTCGGCGAAATTCGTAGCGAGCAGTTTCATTCGTTGCACGGCACAACCTCGCATACAAGCATAAAAAATATCTGAGAGTGTTAGCATGGTCGAAGGGGTTCTATAGGTCGCAAGAAGGAAAGCGTTGGTGAAAAGTTAGGTATTAAAATTTAGACCGACTGGAAAAGTAATATGTGTACGCTATCGATGCGTCATTCGAGGCGTTCCTGTATGCACAAACTTCGGCGCGGCGCCATCTCGTTTCACTAGTCCTTTTCACCACGGGGCGGACAGCCATTGGTGGAAATAGCCTGAAGCCGCGCCAAAACACATGCAGGTAGGCCGCCCGATAAGCACTGTATGGACTGGTCATACTTCGTCCAACTGGGGAACCAGGAAAATGGCGAAAAGCATAAATTGGTCGACAACATTGAGCTAATTATAAAATGTTAGTTCTCCAATCATGGTCACACGTTTCTCAATTTTGCGATACTTCTAAACTGAGAAAAGGGTGGACAAAGGGGAACAAATGCGATTATGCAAGGGTTAGCTAATTGAAAGCAATTCAGAACTTGTATTTCACAGATTCCTTATAGTCTTGGAATTATTTGCTCCATTGGAAAGGACTTTCACAAAGTGATTTTCAAAGAGCACTCCATCATTACACCCGAAAGCAGTTAGAGGTACGGCCGATATCGCCCCAATCAGTCGAGGCGGTGTCAGGGGGTAGAAGGGTGGCTGCGCGGTGTTTTTAGCAGTCTTATCCCAGAATCAGTCATTGGGCGGTTACTAGTGGTCGGAAATGCAGCCTTGGTGGGCTCATTCCGCCTCTCGCGACCCCCCTCGACAGATGCGACGATATCAATCACCGAAGTTGAGCGATAAGCAGCACTGAACCGTGGCAAATCCCTAATCGAAAAGCAGCTATTTCATCACTACTACATGGATTAAGCACAGAAGCGCCATGTAATCGCAAGATTATCTCGCTATTCCGCCCCTAAAAAGGAAGGCAAGAGCGCTGCGGCCATCACAATGTGTAGTTATGTATGGTGTATCGTACGATATACCTTTACATGTTGTCACAACTGTAATCAAATGTCAAGTTAGTAGCTTAACCTAAATGCTGTTTATGACTGGGAAGAATATGAGGCTCATGGTGTACTCACGAGCACTTCGTAAAGGACCCCAGGGAAATCCGAAGTAGCAGCCACAGTTCATGTGAATTTGCCTGCACAGTTTTCATTCATGAAGAAATCCTTCCCCGGAATGTGTGAAGCAGTTCAGCAGTTCAGCTTCCTAGAAAATTGCTGAGAGTAGCGCTGATAAGCTGATTATTACGCCAATGTTGGCTTAGCTAAGATGATCACTTATCTGTCGATTTTGTACAACAGCCCGTTGTCTCATCCTCTTAATCTTCCTCAACTTATTATCAGGAATAATGGAAACGGCCCAGACAACACTCCAATGCCGTCCACAGCACCTCCATCGCTCTATGAACCTGATGACGATCAGGGTAGTTTCTCTTCATATGAAGACTCACCTGGACCATCGCCGAACAACTCGTCCTTCTATGATCCGCTGCCAGGGCCGTCATCCAGTAGTCACTTGTACGATGTGCCAGCTGTGCCCGAGCAGAACACTGATCACTTCAACAAATTAGCCGAGGTTATTTCAACATGTTATTTTTCATTTCAGTAATGTCTCACAGTTGCCTCAAAAGATATGCAACAGTTAATTCCGCTGAATAGTTTACAAGCTGTTTCTGATAGGTATACTGTATTCCACACACCGAAAATTGATAGTGCTGACTGAGTTTTTCGTTTGGTTGCGGAGCTTTTAGTGGAATCTTGCCGTTTTGGGACAGTTGCTGTCACGTCTTCATGCAGTGGCAGTGAAGAGGATGGCAGTTGTCCCAAATAGAAAGACCCACGAAAAACGCATCTTACGTCACGCTCAGATGAAGTACACAGCCACGATTCCATCTCCGTTGCTGGAGGCGGGCGGTTATTGCCAGGGTCATTGGTGGCAGGGCTGCGAAGGGCCTTTGGCCACACCCCACCCAACCCTACCAGCGATGACGTTGGCCGTAGCCGCCCGCCCCCAGCCATCGTGCCCTCTGACTTAACAGCTGGACAACGTCAGCTGATAGAAATCAAAGTTGCCCGAAGAAGCCATTCAATCGGAGCGGTCTAGGGAGCGATGTCAGGCTTTTGGCAGGCGCTGTTGGGCTTGGGAGAGGCATTTTGCACTTTCGCTATTTTTTGCCGCTAGTTCCTACTAAAGTACACGTTTCACTTTGGTGAGACCTGTACACTCCTGTTAAGGGTAGTGAAGCTCACGTTATTGCACAGTTTCACAGGAGTTTACAGCTCCTCACAGGAGCCATCGGCATAATCGATGGAAACCAGCAAAGTACCCCCACCAAGCCGAATAGCGCCCTTTTCGCAAACTTTGAATGCCGTGAGTCACTCACGACATCGCTTTCTGGTGCTATTACAGTTCATATGTATTCAACTAGTATCTTGTTAGCTACGGATGACAGGGCATGTCAAAGGGGGATGAGTTCAGCGCGTTGCTAGCCCGTTGTTTTTTTTTCTTTAGACTTATCGCTCGTATCAGCCCTTTCCAACGGTTTTTGTCGCTCACCCGCTTCGACAACTAGCGGAAAAGGTCTGGCAAAACGCCAAACCCACCTTCACTGACACGCCCCGTCGTCAGCAGCGAACAAGACTATATACTCGTGACCCACGAGAATTATTCTTCATAAACAATCGCATTTTTAGGAACTTTTATCGACTGAAGAACGTTATCTTGGTGATCTGCTGTTAGCTAAGAAGCTGTTTCATGACACACTTATCACATTGCCTTACCGACACGAAGTGACGATAATATTTCGACACTGGGATCAGCTGATCGACGTCTCACGAAAAATCTACCTGGGACTGAAGAATTGTACCTCTCCGGGTAAGAGAAAAGATAGTACAAAAATGAGATTTATAAGTACAGTTGAGCGCGTCGTAGCTACGGATCGACCGGCGAAGGGATCGCATTTTGTCGCTGAAGGCAGAGGCTGGTTGAGGAACAGCTTAATATTTTGAATGCTTTGAAATCATATAATAAAAAATATCAGAATACCCACCTCCCCCCCACTTCCCCCCCCCACCCCATGAGAATGCCGGTGGATGTCATGGGTACATGAAGTATTGACAAGTTGGTTATTATTTATTGCTTGCAGAAGTTATAAGAATAAAATCTAGAAAAGATGATTAAGAAAGCGGCATGCGCAGCCCAAAAATCGTGCCATCCTGAGATTCACCATTCGTTTCACTCTACCCTTAGGTCAGCCCACGCCTTCCCAACAACTTGCTATAACTGACTGCATGATAATAGACTTCCTATGGACATACAGAATTCCAGCGGTGTCCCCGCGGCTCAGTCCCGCATTCTTTTTATGGGGACGCAAAATCTGCTTTTATCAAAATTGGCTCTGCCTTCTCATTGGATTATTGAAATGCGCAGGAGAGTTTCCGGAAGAGCTAACCGCTTAAAATTTTTTATTTCTTTTTCCTAACTAAACGCTCAATGTATTTCTTGCTCGCAATTGGCAGAAGCGAACAGTCCAATGTGCGAGGAAATTATGTCATAAACAAGAGTCGTTGCCGTGGCTAATCTCATATAACTATATTCTACCTCTTTCGTCAGTGCCATATATTGAGTTGCCGAATACCTGCGACCAGGGGGGGGGGAGAGGTGCGACGAGGGTGGAGATGGTAACCTATCTCTGAATAATTGGCGAAACTCTAATTGAAATAAAATCAAGTATTTAAACCCGAGTCAACGAAAACAGGACGCAATTTGGAGCGAAACCAATGCCACGTTAAAATTTGGCGAGACGGCGCTTCGACTCGGCTAGGCCACTGGCATAGGGCGCTTTCAGTGCTAACCAAACGCAAACAGCAGTCACGAATCGAAAAACGATTAAAATCGTCCGGCTGGTTATCGCAATGAGAGTGTTAGAAATAGAGGATATGATGTGGAGGGGGGAAAAGGGGGGAGCAGGCGTGCGGGCCTGTGTCTCTAGACAATGTGGTAAACCCTCCTAACTTCTGTTCTATAGCGCTCTCCGAAAACAGACCAGCGTCACATACCAAACTACGTGATTAGGCAAAGCCGTAACCCTCCACTCTCGGCATATTCCATCAAAAGACGAAACTTTTCAGACTCTCGATTAATGTCTTCTTACGCTATGCAATTCAGCGAGCCTGTCCAAAGCATATGAATGCGCCGTGGCATACTCATGCACGTCGCAGCGCGCAATTGCACGCGCTTAACATAGCCATCGACGCGCGTCTTCGGCGAAGTCTGAACGCTGCCCAAAAAATTGTAATCGAAAGCGCCGATGCTGGTGCTTGCCAACCGACTCTGTTGATGCTAATAAGTCTTCCAAGTGTTCATGCTCTGCTCATGTTGACATGTGGACGTGATTCCAAATACACGTAAAATCTTTCAAAAAGCTACGAAGGGAAAGTGATGTGATCAAAAAATAAAATGAGTCCCTCATCATTTCCAAGTCCATGTGGTTCATCTTCAGAAATCGAACTCCCTATTCAGTGTTGTGGGCGAATTCGTAAGGCCATCAACAAAGGCCCTGGGACGCACTGAATAAGCTGTTATCTCATCCAGACGCACAGAAGCTCTACACGAAGTGCACGTCGAGCGTTGCGGCTCGTGGCATGAGCCTGAGCACGTTTCTTTTGCTGCCGCTTGGACGGAATTACGAGGTTTGTTTCAGAGGCAAGGCTGGCAAGACGCTACATAGAGAACCAATGCGATTGGCCCGACTAAGCCACGCACAGCCATCCTGTTTCGAATATGGACGCGGGAAGTATAAAGACAGGTAACTATCTATTGGCATATCGCTAATCTGGTGCCCTTGTGGTGGTGCCCGGTACGTCTGGTTTTGACGCTGCGCGCACGTTTCCCCACCACTGATTGCCCGCTTGGGATGCTGTATCTAGGTTGCGCCCAAAAAACACGTTTGTACGTGGGCACGCACTGGCCAAATCCGGCGTGCGTCCGCATAAGCATCTTTAATGCGTCGACGTGGGGTTACGGTCGGACAGTCTCGAAGCTTTTGTGGCAGGTTCCTGTTGCGGAAACCCTGTTGACGCAGCGGGCAGTCTTAGTGGAGTATCGGAGCAAGCTCTGCCAGAAAAGTCCACACATGGCCAGAGGAAACATCTCGGCCTAGTCAGGGTTAAGGTGCGGCTTTTTTCGAAGGGCGGGGAACTCGGGGTGGGTGAGCCACGTTTAATCGTCTTGCGAAAAACTCAGATTGTCCTGAGGTCACAATAGACCAAGTAGGATGACCAAATATTGTTCACGAGAAGAGTGGCAGAGAAAAACGTGAACATCGACGCGCATTCAAAGAGATTAAGTTTCAAGATTTCAGGCGTAGACCTTGACGTGGCTTGGACTGCTGGCGCCGCGTGCCCGTTGACTTTCAGGGGCTAAATGACTTGGAAATGTGGGGAAAAACAGAAGGAACCGACGGTAACGCCTCAAGTAGGAACGTATTTCCATTTGGTGGAGTTCGTGTAGCATTTGGAGCGAGTCGCTTCAAAATTTCTGGTAATTCGCGAACGCAATTGATGAGGACGCCGGTGTTGTGGGCTAACCTTAGGCTACTTTTAGGCGTTTGCGCTTGTGTTTTAATCTTAGCATTCGATGAACGTCCTCCCGAGGGATACGAATGGGCGGAGCCTCAGGCAACATCGCCACCTCTTAGAAAAAATCCTTAAACGTAACCGTATCCGGCACATTTGCACGGCAAACGCATAATACGCATTTGTGGATCCTACGCCTCTCTGTCAGACGTACAGCACGGAAGCGATTTTTACGCGCAACAGAAGTGATCATGATTTTTCTCAGATACCCGCTGCTGATTGAGAAAATCCTCAAGGAGAGCAATCCGAAAGGCGAATTGCATCAGGTACGTGACCTAGGCTAAATGGGAGTGACCTCGCTATGAAGATCACTTTCAACATCGACCTTGTAATTTGTTCCAGGAGCTGGATACTGCTCTACAACTACTTCGTGCTCTTGTTTCTGAAGTGAATCATGCTGTGACTGAAGAGGAGAATGTGTTCCTCTTACGTTGGGCCCAATTACATGTAAAATGTCATCCGTCACTACCTCTTGACTTCACCTCGGACACACGCCTTTTGGTAGGAATACTTCCCAAACCCAACCAGTTTTCGATCCACTTCGATAGTCATGGATTGGAGTGGGAAGAAAATGAAATCCATAGCCACCTGATCGGTGGAGAAAACCTTGCTTGATTGCTTTACTTCTTTTATTCCTTGTAGGGAATGCGGTTATTCCTTCACTCTGGCGTACTGTACAAACAACGAAGTGGGCGTCTTTTAGTGGGTATTCTATTCAACGACTTCCTTCTACTCACTACGCCGGATGGACACTTATCAAAGGTGAGCTAAACTATTTGCCATTTTTTTTTCTCTCCAGTTAAAGCGAAAATTCCCTCAGGGGAGCGATCACTGTGGGGGGGGGGCGACAGTGAGAACAACGCACAGTTGATATCGTCGCAATCATTGGGGGGTGGGGGGTGTCAGCAGGGTTTGAATAAGCCCGCTGCAGCATTTTCACCATTGGTTGTTGTCCTCCTGAGTCGATCACCTACCGACCACCAAGACAAATAGCAAGATGGTTGGAGGCGGGCTCATTTCCTCCCCCCCCCACTCCACCCCGAGTGATTGTGACGATGTGAACCCTAGGTTTTGGTGAACCCTCTTTCATTCTCCTTTCTTTGCACCTTCTCGCATCTCATGAAACGCTGGAAGGAACATCAAAAGTTGACAGAACAGTTGCATGAGCGTGGAACTCCTCTATTTTAAGTGCATTACAGAATTCCAGGTGTTCGTATTACGGCTGGGTACGTTTAGACGCTCAGCCATTTAACGCGCCCGAAAATCCTTGGCTCTGATTCATTCTGTCCTACTATAAGAAGAGATCTCTACGGTTAGGCAGCGTTCAGACTTCGCGATCGCGCCTCTCAGCGGCGCGATCGATTGCGCCACTAGTGGTAGTGACCGGTTGTAGAGCGACTGATTCTTTCATCCTTTCATACTTTACCACACTTTAGAAAAGGAGAATCGCATAACAGAAATCTTCTACCGAATTCTATATCCCTCTGTTGAAACTAATCACTGTTTTTTCCAACAGTACTTTGATATCCTTTTTTGAACTTCCTTCTAAGGAAGCTTTCACCAGAGTAGAGAATTCTCTGGTTGTTCCTTGTTTTGAACTTCTGTTACCTAAATCTTTTGCCATTTCTCCGATCATTCACCCCTTTTAGTTTGTTTGATGATCACGTCGTTTCGAGATGTATTTTCTAAAAGCAATTTTCATGAAAATGACCACTGGTTTCAAGGTCCTGATCATGTTCGCGCGCGCGTCGTGTTTATGTAAAATGGCGACTTATCTACCGTTTTCAGAGAAGTTCATCACTTTATTTTTTTGTACTGCGCTGACAACAGCGCTGCTTTGTGTTGACTGCCCCTCTCTCCCACCTCGATGGTCAATTACGCCACCCCCCCCTCACCTCCGCCTCCAAATGAGGAATCATCAACGATGACATGCCCGACGCTGAGCAGTAGGAAGTGTTCATACAGCTGTTCGGCGCCATGATCAAATTTATGGTTTTTCAATTCAAAGCAACAGAGAATTGCATGAGAAATACAATGTCAATTCCAAACTAACTAACTAAAAATTACGGCCCAGAGACAACTCTACTGAAGATTAGGGGGAGAAAGCGTTCAAAGTAATGTTCGTGCAAAACTGGGATTGACTCCGTACGAAATATTTTTAGGGACATAGAGGTTACTTCTCCCTACCCATAAGCACGATAATTTGGTAGTGGGTCTAACATAGTAGCAAGGGTGCTATATTGTGGGGAAATGGCAAAAACGGAGTGAAAAGGTCAAAAACCTGCAAAGAAGAGCTTTTGTTCTGAGTGATTCTAAAAGCAATTTTGGCAGTTGCCGCAG